CCCCCCCCCCCCCCGGCCCCTGGGACTGGAGCGCAGTGCACGGAGCCCCGGGAGCTCAGTGCGCAAGGCCAAGGTCCTGCCGGCTTGAGCCTCAGTCTCCACGTCGGTAGAGTGGGCTGCTTGGGGGCCCCCACCATCCTGAAACTCCCCCAACGCACACCCCGTTCCGGCGACCGTGCCCACACCGGCGTCAGGGCTTGTCTGTCTTGGGCTTCGCTCCCACTTCCTGGGCCCACAGTAGAGCAAAGGGTTGGATGTGGTTGCGGCTAGACTTGGGACCTTATAAAGCCAGTGGCCTTGCATCTTTCCTGTGCCCACTGACCTTGGCTCTCTCTGCCCACTCTGTGTGACACAGGCGCCTCCGAGAGTCATTTTTCCTCAGAGGAGCACGACCTGCCTTGTTTTGCCAGGCTCTCCTCTCCCAGGGTGTGTCTTTTAACCCTAGTTACAAAGGAATGAGGGTCTAATGGTGGAGTTTCAGGCCCAGACCAGTAGAAGTCCTTTGCTTTGGCAGGTGAAGCGGGCCGATCTACTTTGCTCCTGAAAACACAGGTTGCCTTTGCTGGCCCAGCGTCTGTGTTGGTGGAGTGTGAGGGTGTCGGGGAGCTGACCAAGTGCAGGTGCTTTACAGGGGTCTGGCTCCCTGGCCGTGGCAGACAGGCTCTCCTCCCTGATGTGTTGGGACAGGCCTCTGCGTGTGTCACTGGTCCAAAAATCTGGGGAACGTGGGCCCTGGAGCATGGTTGGGGAGGAAGCAGCCAGGTGCAGGGGAGAAGCCCTCCTCCTGACCCCTGAGTGCACCTCCTCTCCAGGGCGCCTGATGGACATCTTGCGTTGCCGTGGAAAGAGGGGCTATGAGGCCTTCCTGGAGGCCCTGGAGTTCTACTACCCGGAACACTACACTCTACTAACTGGCCAGGAACCTGCCCAGCGCTGCTCCATGATCCTCGGTGAGCTGATCCCGATGGGTCCCCAGGCCTCGGCCATCCCTACAGAGCTCCTTACCCTGTCGCTGTCAGGGAGGTGCTCCTGCTATCCCTGTTGAACAGATAGGGAAACTGAGGCACAGACTGAAGCTGTTTGTCCAGGTCCCCCCAGTAGGCTGAGGGTGGGGCTGGGATTCTAATCCAGTTAGGCCACTCGATTTACACAGCTCTTTGTCCCTCATACTACTTTCAGACATTCATGGGCTTATAGTTTCTTATGTAAAGCATTCAAAGGCTTCAGGTGACTTCAGAATGAAAAGAAAATATCTTTTCCTCTTTCCTTCGGCTCTATTCTGCTGGTGGCACTTTGGCGAGTCCCTTTGTCTTTCCATTCATACACACACCCTAGCTTGGCTTGCGTGTGTTGCCTGGCAGTTTGCTTTTTCTCAGATTGCCTGATGTGAGTGGTGTTTCTACCTAGTCTATGTTCGTTTTAAGTGACCGTGTAATGTTTGTGAATAAGGTTGTGACAGTTCATTTAGCCCACACCTTGTGGATGGACATCTAGGTTATTTCCTGCTTTGTAATAGTACGATGCGGTATGTGCATCTCTGTGAAGTTCTACTTCTCTGGGGAGAGTTTCTGAAGTAGAATTTCTCAAAGAGTAGGTATATTTTATTTTAGTTTTGGTTGTTTGAGACGGGATCTCATCATATAAATCAAGCTGGCCTTGAACTCACTATGTAGCCCAGGCTGGCCTCTTAACTCATGGCAGTTCTCCTGCCTCTGCCCCCTGAGTGCTGGGATTACAGGTGTATACACTCCACTTGGCTGCACATTTTAAATGTTAAATCAGTATACTTTCCACCAGCAGTGTGTGAGTGCTATACCCTCAGGAATCCTGAGGGTCATTTTTAAAATGTTAAAGATGTTTTAACTTTTTTTTTTTTTTTTTGGTATGGGGGATTGAACTCAGGACCTTGTGCTTGCAAGGTTGATATTTAAAAAAAATACATAGTTTTGTTTCAGGTTTATGTTTTACTGAGTGGTGTAGTTCACAGCTTATTGTTTTCTAAACCTAGGACAGTAACTTCTGTGTACGCCCATCTTGTCTTTTTAAGATGGGTTCAATAATATTATTTACTTTAAGGTGTCACAAACATTAGTTACTGCATTTATTGGACCCAGAAACTTCACTTGACAAATGTTATAGCTACTGCTATTATTGGTGGTGGATTGGTGTGTATTTTTCCTATGTTTATTAGTCATATTATTTTGGGAATTGCCAGTTGATAGCTTTTGCCTTTATATATATATATATATATATTTCTTTTATTAAAAATTA